CCCCATCTTGGTGGGGAGAGTAGTAAACTTGCTGAGGATAAGCTTGCTGAGGATAGACTCCATCCCATCTTCCAGATCACTGATGAAAACATTGAACGAAGTCAGCCCCAGGACAGACCCTTGGGGCACTCCACTTGATACCGGCTGCCAAGTGGACATCAAACTGTTGACTACTACTTTCTGAGTCTGATGATCCAGCCAGTTTTCTGTCCAACTTCCGGTCCATTAATCCAGCCTGTACTTCTGTAGCTTGCTTGCAAGCCTGTTGTCGGAGACCATATCAAAAGCCTTGGTAAAGTCAAAAGTACATCATATCCACAGCTTTCCCTGCATCCACAGAGCCAGTCATCTCATCATAGAAGGCAATCAGGCTGGTCAGGCATGACGTGCCCTTGGTGAATCCATGCTGACTGTTCCTAATCACCTTCTCCTCCGAGTGCTTCAAAATGGATTCCTTAAGAAACTGCTTCTTGATTTCCACCCCCCCCCGCCCAGGGACTTAAGTGAGGCTGACTAGTCTGTAGTTCCCTAGACTCCCCTTCTTCCCTTTCTTAAAAGATGGGCACTGTATTTGCCTTTTTCCAGTTGCCCAGGACCTTTCCCAATCACCATGAGTTTTTTTTTTCGAAGATGATGGCTAGTGGATCTGCAACCATAGTGGTCAACTTTCTCAGCATCGTTGCATGCATTGCATCTGGCCCCGTGGACTTGTATATGTCCAGCTTTTCTAAATAGTCTCTACCCTGTTCTTTTGCCACAGTTGGTTCCTCCCCAAACTGTTCTGCCAGGTGTAGTAGTCTGGGAGCTGATGTTGCCTGTGAAGACCTGAGCTAAAGGCATTGAGCACTTTAGCCTTTCCCACATCATTTATCACTAGGTTGCCTCCCTCATTCACTAAGGGACCCACACGTTCCCTGATCTTCCTCATGTTACTGACATACTTGTAGAAACCCTTCTTGTTACCTGTCATGTCCCTGGCTAGCTGCAACTCCAGTTGTGCTTTGGCCTTCTTGAGTTCATCCCTTCTTTTATGATACTCCTCCTTAGTCCTTTATCCATGTTTCCATTTATAAGCTTCTGTTTTGTTTTAGCTCACTGAAAAGTTTCCTGCTAAGCCATGCTGGTCTTCTGTCATACTTCCTAGTCTTCCTGGTATCAGGGTGGTTTGTTCCTGTGTCCCCAGTAAGGTTTCTGTAAAATAGGACCGAGTCTCCTGGACTCCTTTCGCTCTCAGATTGGCCTCCCAGGGGATCCTGCCCATCAGTTCCTTGACTGAGTCAAAGTCTGCTTTTCTGAAGTCCAGAGTCCTTACTCTGCTGTTCTTCTTTCCTTTCCTCGGGGTCCTGAACTCAATCCTCTCATGATAGTTTCTGTCCAAAGTTGCCATCCACTTCTACATTCCCCACCAAAACTACTTCCAGTCTCTTTGCAGAACCCCCCGGTGACCGATTGTGGAACAGTTTGAAAGCCACTGTTTTATTTAAAGGCCATCATAGCTTAGAGATGCATTTGGCTATTATGATCCTGGCAATTTTTCTTTTAATGGTTAAAATTGCCAACTCCAATCAGTAACTTTAAATTGCAAAAAATTGTTACTGTAGACATCACTGAGCGAATGCATGGTTGATCTGAGGGAGGGCACTCTGGTGCACAAAAGCTTGTCTAAAATCTTTGCTTTTTAATAACTGACTGGTTGGAAGTACCTAGCATCCAATATAATATTTATGAGTATGTCTATGGATTGATGTTGACTATTGGAAATTAAAAGGTTAATGGCAGAAGATAAGGAATTGCAGTCAAGGATGGATTTGTGTAGGATCCTGGGGATGCTGGGTCGGAACAAGACTAGACACAGAACTGAGTTAAAGCCACAGCAGCAGGCAGAGTGCAGTGCACAGCTGATTGCAACAAGAGGACTGCATGCTGAGGCAGGTTTGATCTGTGTAAGCTGCCTGGCATGGGAGGAAGATCAAGAAGTTGGAAGGAGGAGAAAAAGCTAAGCCTTTAGGGGCATGTGGGGAGCCTGGGGGTATCTGTTCAGCACTCTTCTCCCCTTAGACTTCATGAATCCTAGACTTGATTAGTCATAATTTACCACTGACTGTGTTATATCATCAGATAAGTAGCCAGTCCAGAAATTGCTTTTGAAAAGCTGTATATAAAAGAATAATTATGTGACTTTACAGACCCATAGCCTGCTGCCTTGATTTTGTTGTGCCCTTGTGACCAGGCCTCTTCCCCATCACCCCCTCCTCTGTTCAACCCTATCATTTTGCTCTGCATGTTTCCTTTGACAAAAGAATGTGTATCCATCCCCTCTAGTGAATAATTCATAGTTATTCATAGGCAGAAGAGCAAATGTCCTTAAATGTTGATTGTGCAGAGGTTAGAGATGGGAATGGCTTTTCTCTCTTATTTTTATCTTGTCTAAACCACTTACTGTGGTCTGTGTCTGTTGGCTTAAAGCCATGCTAATCAATGTTCTGTGAAAAATTACTGTTACAGACCTAAAATAATGGTATTCTCATTGTCATTTTTCCTCATGGCTTATAATTTGTGTTAAAAATTTAACCATGACAATGGGCTTCTGCCACAGTATTGTACTTTGTAGGCTTATATAGGCAGTAATTATTTGCCATGTAGTTTTATATTGCATTGAGAAAACATGACGTTTCTCTCTCAAATGAATTTAAAGACAAAGTCCCTGGTTCTAAACACCACAGGGCACCAGGCTTGGTACTAACTTATAAGTAGATCAAAATTGGGTTCCAGATGTGAATACGGAATTTTTTTTTGGCTCCAATATAATCAATATTTCTTTTTTTGTAACAAAAACAATTGTTTTGGCCTATTTGGCATGATGCTTGAAACCAACTATTGTGCATTTTGCACATGTAATGGATAGCATATGATGAAATGAATACTTATTCCAAATAAAACACTTCTTTAAAGATGGGACTTGGGAGTGCGAATTATCAAACTATTACACAAGGTATTAGCCATGTGAATTTTATTTATTTCACTAGGAGTTGTGCAGATGAAAGTCCCAGATTACTTGGTAAACAGACTCCAGACAATGTGTTGGTTTAAAACCATGAGAGTGCCCTGAGTAATGCCTGAAGAAGGGTGTTTTTGCCCAAAAGCTTGCAAAGAACAATTTTTTCCAATTATTTAGTTGGTCTAATAAAAGAGATCACATCTACCCAAAGAACCTTGTCTGAGTAGTAATAAGTAATATTGATTTGGGGTTTGACTCTGCAGCTGTAGGGACTGCCTGGAAGTTGATGAGTATTCTGAGCACCATCAGGATCAAGCCCGTATTAAATGCTGACTAAAATAAACACAGACAGATCACCTTGTGATCAGGATATTGCTGCTTGTGAAGTCATGCTGTATAAACACAATTTTGCAGTCTCACTAAAAATAGTCTCTCCCATCCCCCACTGATGTCTGGAAACAAGTTAAACAGGCAAATGCATCACACTTTCTATTGTATGGTGAAAGTGGTTTCAGAGAGGATGGGGTAATATATCTTTCAGCCAGTTCTCTACAGCAGTGGTCTCCAAAGTGGGGTGTGCAAGATGATCCACTGGGGTGCGGGAAGAAAATATTAGAACTTCTATTTATATTTATTTTTATCTTAAAGAAAGAAAGAAAGAAATTAAGCTTCACTAATATTTAATGTACAGATTGACACTGGCTCCCTTGCTCGGTCTGTATATCAGATGGTCACATGTCATGTACGGTACGCCAGGTATCCTGAGGGAAGGGTGGGAGTTCCACAACGTGGAGGGGTTGACAGTGGCACCCTCACTCGTTCATTCACTTTTAGTGTATTGCAACGTATATATTGGGGGTGCGTGCTCAAAACATTTTTTACTGATAGGGGTGCATGATCAGAAAAGTTTGGAGACCACTGCCCTAGAGATCCTGCAGCTCTCCCATCACGTGGGTTAATAGGAGTGACATCTAACTGTTCATTATACATTATTCACTATGTATAGGAGGATGAAGCATTTGTGTCTCTAACTTCAGTCTTCATAGATGATTATAGGACAGTAGGACCTTGTAAAGTCTAGTTCTGCCCCCTGTTCAAGGCAGGATCATCTATGACTAAATCAGCCCAGTCAAGTCTCAGTCCAGCCTGCTTTTGAAAATTTTCAGGGGTGGATATTGCACAACCTTTCTGGATAACCTGTTCCAATGCTTGACCATCCTCATAGTGAGAAAAATCTTCCTTAATTTCCAGCCTAAATTTCCTCTGGTGCAGTTTGGGACCATTGCTCCTAGTTCCTGCCCTTTACAGCCTAAGGGAAAGTTTCTTTCTTATTTCCATCTGCTATATAATTGCCTCAGTTTCTTGTGATCTAGGATCCTACTGTTAACAGTACGTTGTTTTTCTGTGCACTTTAGTACACTCTGTTTAGCTATGGCTGGATGCTTTGCATCCAACAAAACAAATACGAATGTCTAACATCTTGTTTCACTATATGCAGCCCTAAGGTTGATGGGGCAAAGTGCTTCTTGCATTGCTGTCACAATGAAAACATAATTTGACCCAAGATGTCATGCAGAAGCTTTCTGTGCAAGGCTCACTCTGAGCCTTATAGGCAGTAGCCCTATAAAGATGTATCCATTTAATTTTTTTTAAATAGGTAGCACAAAGTTTTGCAGACATACAAAAGTGTTTATAGGAGCAGTGCTTTAAATTTGTAGCCTTTAACTGTATACAGTAGGCTTAAATTTAGCTATACCTGAAAGGGTTGGAATATAATTATGAGAAATAAATATCATTTTCTAGCAAACTTCAAATCTGTATTGATTTTAGAGTTCTGCTGATGCTCAAGGCTGTGGTGATTTCTAGTTTACTGCATGTGTGTAGCTAATGTAAATGTTAGAATGCATCTGTTTTACTGCAGACGTGTAAGTACTATAAACATTAGAATGAATAAGGCAGATCTCGGAGCATTAGATTGAAATCTAATCTGTTGTTTTCACAGGTCATTTTGGTTCAAGTTAATCCAGGTGAAACCTTTACAATAAGGGCTGAGGATGGAACACTTCAATGCATTCAAGGTAAGAGTTATTTTTTCTTTTCTTTCTTTTTAAACGTTCCAATTAATTGAGTGTCCTTGAACTCATGGACACAATGGATTACCTTTTCTGAGATGACAAGTCTGAGCTGTACCTGGTTTCACTTTGTGAAAAGTTAATGGAAAAGCTATTCCATTAAATCACATTTTTGGCATGCGTGTGAGGCTGTATATATGACTATATATTTTATAGGACTGACTTATGTGCCTGTTTTAGTTTGGTATGTCGGAATAAACTGGAATTTTGTAAGGCCAGTGAATTTTGATGGGTACTGTAGATAGGTAGGAAGTGACCCCAAATGGTATTGTAGAGAAACTAAAAGTGGAAAAAAATCTTCTGTTTTTTCTCTTCCCCCTCCCCTCCAAAAGAAGTTTTTAATAAATACCTGGCCCTTTCGGAGATTTTATAGCCCAATATTGTCTCATATTGGCACAGGAGAAACAGGTTCTAAAACTGGGGAAATGATCAAATAAAATTAAATGCATTAGTGTATGATATGGTCCAAACAGAAGAAAGCAAGATCAAAACAGGACAATGTTTACCAGTCTAGGCTATCCTAGTAACTTAACAAAGGACATTAAAAAAATGTTTTCACTCAGAACTATCATTTAGGTATCCTTAACCTTTGTTCAATTTAAACGTGAAAAAACAAAAGGTTAAAAGTACAAGAGTCTTCTATTTTCTGATGTTTTCAGAGGGAAACTGATCTGTATGTGAAAGCCAAATATTTTCAGGTTCATGTGAAATCAGGAATTCCATTTCATAAGAGTGAACTTGTTTTTAACAACAAATTCCTTACCTGAAGTAATCATTTTCTACTGTGTCATAATTTCTGGAGTTTCCCATATGAAATTAGGAGCAGAAGATGTATGGATCAAGTGGGATATTATCATTTGATTCAGATGGATGTGACTTGAGCAGTACTTTTGGTTTTTATATAGATGTTCCTAACAAATGTTCCGTGACACAGAAATTTACAATAAAAAAGAACATTCTCTATTGTCCATTGTGCCCGATGTATAATTTCGTAGAAAGGCCAAAAATAGTTTCCCTTGCCATCCCCTGTCTGTTAATGTTTTGGGTGATTTTTCTCTGAAAACTATTATGACTGTTTATAGGAAGTACAAAAAAAGTTGGGTTTTTTTCTGGTCAGTTTGACTCATTACCTAAAGAAATGCAGACTTTTTCTTCCTTTAGGGCATAAGAATTGTCTACCAGGAAATATGCTGTGGTAAAAATAGACAAAGGAAAAATGTCTAGCATAAGTTACATCATGTTGTTTTCATCAATACTTGGCATGTACATACCAATATTTTAAGAAGTCTTTCTTCATGATTTTTAGCAGCCTTTAATATGCCTTTAATATTTAATAGAATCAGTGAAATAACGTATCTAGTGTCCACTGGACAAGGGCTGGCCTGGCCCCTTTAAAGTTGAACCAAACATAGCCTTTTCCTTTGACTGTAAAATATTAGGTCAAGTCATAATTTGCAGAGGAACCTATACACAAAAAAAAAAAA